ATTCTTGCGTTCTCTTCTCTGTGGACGAGTATATAAACGCGTGTCTTGTATCAGAACGATGCGATTGATGAGGAAGAAATAAATAAGCGTAGTTCCATCAGCGCATACATCTCTTCCATCAGAAATCGTCACAGTAGAGTTTATTTGTTCGAATGAAAATATGTAGATCTTAACTGAAGTGATTTATTTTCAAGTTTAACCACGTTTTGTTTACAACAACTGAATATCTTCTATTTAAGTCAACGGCTTCGGATGATACTAGAACGTCTACTTTTTACGATTTTGCCATTTCTGATAGATTCGCTCAGCTTGGTCTTCATTGACAGCTGTATGTTCCATCACATCATAGGTCATAGCTGTCTGTGCTGCTGAACTACTTGTACCAGAAGCGTTTGTTGGAGTTGCAAATGCGAACGAAGCATTTCCAGGTGGAGCAGCCATAGGTGCGCCAAACGAAAACGAGGGAGCATTTGGTGCAATGGATGATGACGTCCCAAATATTGACGAATTAATCATAGATGTAGGAGTCGCAGATGGACCAAACGGAGAAATAGTACCTGGAAGATTAGTGGAAGGTGCGCCGAACGAAAATGGCGTGGTATTTGGTGGAATACTCGATGGCATACCAAATATTGACGAGTTAGGTAAAGGAGTAGTAGTGGAAGGCGTACTAAATAAAGCTGGAGGAACTCCAGGTGCAATGGTGGAATGTGAACCAAACGAAAATGGAGAATGCGAGGTTGTCGTGAATGCTGATTGATTAGGTCGCGGTGCCGATAAAAAAGCATGTTGCATTTGAGCCATAGTATGACAATTAGAAGAAAATGCCTTAGCGGTGCACGATGTTGTTCCAAACGGATTTGCCATCTGTGTCGAACATAGATTTTTCGTTGTGAAAATAGTATTGATTCGCTTGATTTTTTCTTTATCATCAACTCCTTCTGCTTCTGCTTGTTGCATTTCACGGTTAATATCCTGTTCAGCGGCTTGCATCAACCGTTCCAATGAAATTCCTTCACGTACACCGCCGATAATAACTTTTGCTAAAAGCTGAGCATTAATCATAGGAACATATTGACCACCTGTAGTATAAGCCAATGACATAAAAAAATCACGATAAGGCGCTGGAAAAGCGATGAATGTATTAGAGTTATTTTTCAATTTTCGAGCAAAACACTTCTACTTACTAATAGGTGGTTCAACTCCGACTGAATACAGTGTAATGTGCTTTTCCACCATTTCTCGAACGATTTGGATGGGGTCGAGACCGTTGGGACATCCATCTGGAAAACCATCACCACTAGGATCAAGTCCATGAGGCGGTGCATCGGCAATCAAAATACAAATTTTTGTAGATTCAGCACGCCACGATAATTTGAGAGCAGCATGAAGTCCATCCGCCACGGCTTCTGCTAAATCTCCACCACCATATGCTTGACATTGTTGTAACCAATCTCTCATTTCGCTAACCTTAGCCGTAAAATCATGCACGCGCGTTACAAAAGTATTGTCCTATAAACAGAACAAAATGTTTCAACCAAATAAAATTCTTCACAAAGAACATATTTACTTGTGGTGGATGATCACGATACTCGACTAGTGCCAAACGAATATCACTTTTCTCACTAACAACAATTTCCTCGACGATTGCACGAATGTTGTCCAAAGCACTCGAAATATAGGATGACATTGATGAAGTACAATCCATGATAAAAACGAGATCTGTATGAAGAAAAGAATTATGGACATCGTTGATACAAGTTACATAGGAAACGTTTACTTACCGAGAATCGATGAATCGTGTTTAGCTAATTCGGGTCGGTCAACTTTTTCCATAGTAATCGTGCCAGCCATGTTTGGATGTTTTCGATCAAGGATGCGTGCCTATTTGAAAGTAAAAGCCTGAAGAAAATTTGCGAATACTACATAACTGGGCTTGTATTCGTCCTTTTTCAATTTTTCTTGCAAGCAGTTGAGTAATATTATTATACGCAGAACAGAAAAAAATTGAGTCATGTTCTTCTCAAATAACAACGAGAAAAACATCATTGGGTGAAGAGCAGAACGGTGAAAATTACAACACAATTACAAAACATGAATCATCAGTTATACACTGCAACCGAGTCTTTCCCTGTAAGGATTAGAAAAGATGCCGAGCTACAACATCATAGGTTGTGTTGTCGTACTTTAGCTTTCTGTTCTACTCAGTAAATTGAGTTGTCGGGTGGCTATTTCTAATGTAAATGAATCACTAGTCATTTTGGCCAGTTCCTGTGCCATTCGTAGGCTTTGAATCGCGTCTTGAAAATTATTTTGCTTTATGTTAATAATGCCAATGTTTAGATGCACGTTTGCTGATGGTTGATAAGTTAATAATTTTCTAAAGATGTTATTTGCTTCTAACCATTGCTCTCGTTTGATTAGAATATCTCCCATTCTTTCGAGTATATCGATAATGAATGATCTGTATTTTGACACAGGCAACATCACTTCTTGAGCTATTTGAAAATATTTCAATGCTTGATCATAGTTTTTCAAATTATCATAATTCACTCCAATATAATAATGCATTAAAATACGATCGTCAGAATCAAGCTCTAACGTGTGTTCTTGCAGATGATTCTCGTAATATTGCAATGCTATGTCCGATTTTTTCAGATTTGTGTAAGTTAAAAAAATCTTCATTTGTATCGACAGTTTTGCAGTTGGTCGAGCACAATTCAATGCTTTCTCATATGCTATCAACGCCTCTTCATATTGCTTCGTGCTATAATGAATATTACCACTATCTACATAAATAATACTTAAATTCATATCTGTGAGAGTTTGTGCCAGTTCAATAGCTTTGTGAAGAGAATCTACAGCTAACTGAGATTTGCCCAGAGCATGATAGGACGTTGCGAAGCTTTTATAACAACAGCACAATGCTTTGGTTCCTTGACTTTTGCAAACGATCAACGATTTTTGAAGAAGATCAATGGATTCATGATATTTCTTGTGGTCACTTAAATTGAGTGCTACGGCTTGAAAGAGATAAGCAGTGGCATCAGTATCATTGGGCAATGATTTCAGATGATGTTCAAGTCCTTGATGCCAATAGAGTTCTGCATTTGAATAATCTCCACATAGTTCATAAGTCATTGCGAAATTACAATATATTTTTGATAGTAGTGGAATATTAGGTAAAAGGGAACGAGTATAATCCAACGCTTTTTGAAAATAATGTAGTGCTTGTTTGACATGACCCAGTTTGTAATAGATATGTCCAATATTATTATGACGCGTTGCTAGTAAAAGATCAATAGTCTTCATATATTCGTCGGAACGGATAGTATCAAGGGATTTTTGACTGTACTCCAAAGCTAAAACAAATATTATAAACAAAAAAAACTATTTTTCAATTTCTTTCTTATCTCTTACCTTTCATCAATTCGCCTTGTTCTAAATAAATTTCACTTAAACCCGTGTAACATCGCTGTATAGTGGACGATACATCTGTATCAGAAACTTTTTCTAATAATTCAACTGTTTGTTGAAACAAGGTCATGGCTTGATCATGCTTGTTTTGGTGGAAGTAAATTTCACCAAATATTGCCAATGTTGCCGCGATGCTTTCTGTGCACGTGCTAAAACTTGGTTGAGCCATGGTTTTTCGCAAGAAATATTCAGCCTTGTCATAATCAGAGATAAACAACATCAGTGAACTTAATTTCGAGTGAAAATGTTGAACTTGAAATATCGCTTGATCTAACCAATGATGTAACAATTTCAATTGTTGATCTTCATCTGATGTTTGAGAGAGTTTTATATCCCAACGTGTTTCTGGCGTTTGGCATATACTTTCAATTCGAAAAACGCTACCCATAGAAAAAAGAATCTCCTGTTCAATATTGAATTGACTCTGTTCAGATATATCCGCGAAGGGCGTTGATGTTTGAATGGCACAATTGAGCTCAATTTCAAATAAAATCGCTTGCATATTGTCACCATCGTTGCGGACATAGACTTCTGCCAAAGCTTGTCTCCTACTTGTCGATAGGAATTCACTAAATGATACCAGATAACCTGGCTTTAGCTTTTCGAATTCATCAATCGGCAATCCAACTCCTCGATAGACCGTCAAATTTTCATGTGATAAAATCGAACAAAAATCTGCGTGACGTGCCTTCAGTTGTAAATGTAAATCTTTGATGAAATAACGTAAGTGATAAAGAGTTAAAATGTCTTGTGTTCTCAATGCCCTATTAATCGTACGATAAAGAAATCCATCCATCGTATACCAATAGATAGCACGGTCAGCTGTGTAATCATGCTGAAATCGAGTGATCTTTCCTAATTCACTTGGATTATCATGATACTGTTGACGAAAGAAATCAATCATTTCATTCTTATCTGTTTCCGTATAGTTTTCTTGGACGAAAATATTACGTAGAATTTGTGAATACATAAAAGTTGCTTCTTGAACATTATTTTCAGCGTTCTGCCCACTCTTACTAAATGATCCGATATTACCATTTGGTAAACTGTTGATTGTTACACGATTTCGTACCAAATGCTCAGTATCACGTTTTATTTGTGTAATTAGCTGATCAATGGTCATAGATAAACTTTGAACTTTTTCATATTGTAATGGATCTTCATCTGATCTTTCGCCCTCATTCTTAAAGAGAATGTAAATGGAATGAATTTGTGGTATATGATTGATCAATGGTATGATTTGAATATGTTCAAATGAGATGATGAGGAAACACTTTCCACTTTTTAAATTCGTTATAAAGTCTATGCAAGTATTTGCTTCAACGAAGTGTTGTATGGAAGTAAAGACATGTTGAAATTGTTTTAAAACATCAATTATCGAATCAGATGATGAATCCAGAGAAATCAGAAGATACTGATCCATCTCGTTTTACATTCGTGCAACTGCGAATCAGAGTAACAGGTTTGATAGTTGGAGTCAAAAACAGAAAAAAAAACAACGGCAATAACACATGGTGAGAAAAGGAAAGAGATTGTGAATGTTCTTTGTCCAATCATATGTCAAGTTGGAAAGATTGTTTCATTGAGTGGGGATATGAATGCAAAGAGAATTGGACTCCACCTACGCTCCACACTCTCACAAAATCCAAGTACTTATCATGAACTTCGTTTCTGTTCATCATATAAAACATGATTTAGATAATCGAACACTCGTTCACACGCGCACCTACTAATAAAACTTATTGAAGTAATTGTGTTCTTTCTGAAATAGTGGAAATCATTAAATTTTGTTAGTACAAACTTGAAAGTGTATTATTTAAATGAAAATTCTTTCGTTTATTAACTTCTCACATGTTTTTGTCTAAAATTGTCATTTTTATTTATGCATTTTTTTTCTTTCTTCCTTTCGTATATGAGGATAAAAGATGTTGGAAAATACCAAGCTTCTTTTCAAATAGTGTTTATTGACTACCGTTAAGAAAGGATTTCAAATATTTCCATTTATGTCACCATACTTCCGTCAGTAGGACTAATGTAATTTAACATGAATTTGACTGTCTAATTTTTCTCGAAAATATCTGAGTAAATGCACCGATTTTTAGTTGCTCCTTGGTTAACATCGATAGTATTGAGTGTCTTTTCCTGCGAGATTGAAATCATACGTTCAGGTACAGTTAGCGACTTTAGTTCTGGTAAAATGGAGCTAAGTGAAAAAGTTTATGAAATAGAGAATGATACAATACACTATATTGTGTATTTTATAGCATACAACCATAATGGCGACAACAAATGACGGTGCTAATAGTAATTCTTTGCGAAAGCTTTGTGTAGAAAATGTTGGCTTGATGATTCGTACGATGAACAGATGAATACACATGAACAATCAATTGATATTATACATCGAATTGTTAATGATGTTATTGTGTTGATTTTGCAACTAATTTAACTAATGAATATGTATTTCTTATTGTAAACGAGATTCTTGGACAACAAGTAGTCCCTTTGATTCAATTGGTATATTATTCCCTTTTCTGAAAGAAAGGGTTATAGCGACATAAATACAGTCGTGAAAATGCATAAAGTTTGTTTGTTTGTTTGCATAATCCAATCAGATTACAGCATATTATAAATCAATGAAATTTATCTATAATCATCAAAGATTGACCACTGATCAAGTAATCGAGGTCGAGGACCTCGAATCTGAGGTTAGATTTAACTGATTATTAACTATTAATTAACTACAGGTTAACTAGCGATGAATTATTAATGTATGCAGTAAGGGTTGACCGAAGGGTAACCGAGGTCGAGGATCTCGAATCTGAGGTTAGTTTCTCGAAATTCCAATTAACTCATTAGCTAATTAGCTAATTAAGTAATGAAAATTTTCTTCGTTGTTGAGTAAGGGCTGACCGAAGGGTAGTCGGGGTCGGGGATCTCGAATCCGACGTTAGTGTTGATTAATTAATTATTAGTTTTTCATTAACTAGCCACGACTTATTAACATCCATTGTCAGCGTAGACTGAAGGATTTCTGACGTCGGGAAATTCNTAGATTAATCCTAAAGTGTACGCTTAGAATAACCTTGCCAGGCTTCCGATAATTTTGAAAGAGATTTGACGAATGGATATTCCTCAATGAAAATATTTGACAAGGTATCATTTTGTTGACAGGAGAGAAAAGAATCGGTTTGTCGCTGGAAGACACAGGCGAATGTTCAAACTTTTCAAGTAGTCTACTGTATATCGTCCGTCTATGAGTGACTTAGTAAATCATTTATGAAAATTTCCATGCGTGTGATGTGAAAATAGAAAAACAGATGACAAAGGTCAATGGTTGGCCGTCTGACTAGCCGTTGAGCGATGAACTTTTCAGTCAACATAGTTAGTGCTGGAGAATTATCTACGGACAAATGGCTAATCGGTCTGATTCCTAAAAAGACTTTTGCATCCTATTCATTCTAGTGTGTGACACAGCGCCATGATTCAGTTGAGCACTAGTAGCAATCGCGGTGCGTTTTTTTTCTTTCGAAGTCTCTGAATGTGTTCAGCATTCGGAAAAGTCTTTCAGAAAATGGTCAGCGAATCCAAAGGATGAGCGTTACTTGTGTATATTTACACTGATATTGATTTATTCTGGTCATTTTTCTTTCTTTTCATAGAATATAAAATAAATTTATGTTATGCAGTTGATTAGCGAAGTTCTGGATCAAACCTTTTCAGCTGTCGTTTTAATTATAATACTTTTTTAAAATTTTTACAAAATGACTTACAGGATTATAAGGTAAAAAAGGACTATGACTAGTACATAATAATCAAGTTTACATTAATATGAATAATTTTAGCAAGAGAAAACATTTAAAGTTACTCATTCAGTCGAGGGTTAAGCGAGTCTGCCTCGACAAGCGTTACTAGTGATAAATAAAATAAAAAGAATCGTATGACTAATTATTATTATTTTTTGCTTGACTGAAGGAAAGATAACTAACAAATATTTCGGTGATTATTGCAGACAAAAAAGGTAAAATGTCAATATAAAACGACGTGTGCATATTACATTCTCATTATATCCATATTTTATGTCTATATTATTCATTCTATATATGTATATTTCATCAGAGGTAAGTAAAATATCATTTTTATTTTTCACATTGAAAAACTATCATAAATTAAAAGTAAAACTTCCTTTTTACATCAAAAAACATATAATAATAGCTCGACATAACGTTTGAAATTCTATACAAATAAAATCAACTTATTTTTCAAATATAGAATTATCAATACGACTGTGAAATGTATTACTTACATTCAGACATGGGCAAGTCATCGGCTTTTTGCTCCAAGTCAAGTCAAGTCGCGTCACACCGAAAAATCTTCAAGTCCTAGTTACGAGTCAAGTCAAATCAAGTTATCTCTTGATTTGAGATAGGTTCATCCAAATTGAAGTCAGATTCAGTCATTTATGCCCCTGGAACATATTAAAATGACTTTTAACCAACGGAGACTAGTACTTTATTTAATTTTATCAGACTTCGTTTATGTCTGAGGAGATTTACAATATTGTGTTTTCATTTTGTGAGGCAAAAGGAGTAAGTGTTCGACACGCTCACATGCGAGAAAAAGATCAATTGAAGAAAAAACATCTGTACTAAACCACAGAACGATATGCCCGTTAGATTCCATTGTTAGGTGTAACCAATGTTGAGATTTTAGTTACCTGCGCTTTACCGAAAACGAAAAATTAGGTGATCAGTGGTAACTAAAAAGTTATCTCATGAATTTGAAAATCTTACCTTTTCAGCGTCAATTTATTTGCGCCGGACATAATTCATTTCTAATTTAGAATTTTTTAGTACAAGTTAGTTTTAGAACAAAATCTGAAGCGCATAAAATATGTGTATCTACATACAGTTTTGGACTTGAATTATGACTTGCTCATGCATAAAAAATCAAGCCAAGTCAAGTCGTTTTCTGACTTACTTTAGAACAGGTCAAGTCGAGTCGTTTTCTGACTTACTTTAGATCAGGTCAAGTCAAGTCATTTTCTGACTTACTTTCATAAAATCCATTTTTCTATTTGAAATAATAGTTAAATTTTCAAAAATGAGTGCGAATGTACGATCATTTCTTTACTTTATGAAAACTCATTAATATTTACAATTCAATTCAGTAGTGACTATCGGTGTGAAGCTAGCACCACGAAACTAAGAATTTTTTGAAAACGAATTCCCGTCGGTAAAACCTACTCTATCCGATATGAATTTAATGTAATGAGATACTTACTGTTTCTATTATATTAAAATATGTTTAGATCTTTCAATAGACTATATTGATAATTAATAATAAATACAAGTTTGAAAAATATAAAGCCATATGGAACAAGTATAAAATAACTATTTTTTATTGTCATAAAGTTTTTTTTTCTATTTGAAATTTAGATTGAAATGGCTTCTATTAATGAAAATATTGATTCAACAGAGAAAATCGATATTGAACAAAAACAATCAACAGAAATGAAAACTGATTCTGATTCACTTTCTCAAACGCAATCTATGACAATAGACAACGAGAACAATGTTACTGATGTAGAAATATCTATACCATCACGGAATTTGTATGCATTTTTTATTTTAATTTCCCGTTTTCGAATCCAAAATAGATACTAATAAGATTAACATCCCAGTTAGCTATAACGAAATCCATCCAAGTATCTTCATTAAAATCACCAATAGCAACGTGTTGTGGACCATAATTATATTCAATTGGATTTGTGGATATTCGTGCCAAANGTCAAGTCAAATCGTTTTCTGACTTACTTTAGGACAGGTCAAGTCAAATCGTTTTCTGACTTACTTTAGGACAGGTCAAGTCAAATCGTTTTCTGACTTACTTTAGGACAGGTCAAGTCAAATCGTTTTCTGACTTACTTTAGGACAGGTCAAGTCAAGTCGCAAATCGACTTGACTTGCCCATCTCTGGTAACTTACACTTAGTGACAAACAACGATGCCATTTGAAACTTCGGGAGTATATGAGATACTTTCATAAAAGCTATTTTTTTATTTTAAATAATAGTTAAATTTTCAAAAATGAGTGTGAATGTACGATCATTTCTTTACTTTATAAAAATCAATAATATTTACAATTTAATTCAGTAGGGATTGTTTTGATATTCGATATGAATATGATGTAATGAGATACTTACTGTTTCTATTATATTAAAATATGTTTAGATCTTTCAATAGACTGTATTGACAATTAATAATAAATACAAGTTTGAAAAATATAAAGCCATATGGAACAAGTATAAAATAACTATTTTATTGTCATAAAGTTTTTTTTCTATTTGAAATTTAGATTGAAATGGCTTCTATTAATGAAAATATTGATTCAACAGAGAAAATGGATATTGAATACAAACAGTCAGAAGAAATGAAAAATGATTCTGATTCACTTTCTCAAACGCAATCTATGACAATAGACAACGAGAACAATGTTACTGATGTAGATATATCTATACCGTCATGGAATTTGTATGCATTTTTTTATTTTAATTTAATCATATTCATCTTCTATTATATATTTTTGAAGGAAATTCTTTGGTTTTGTAATTCCAAATCGAATTATTGCTATTGGAATATTTTCATTATTCGCATGTATAGCAATGATAATTGGTATTATAATTGTTTGTCTTACTTTACCGAAACGTCAACGTATGTTTTCATTCTAATAAAAATTCATGTAAGATAAAACATATATTTATCTATAGCAACACAATGTGGATTAAATTTGGCACGAATATCCACAAATCCAATTGAATATAATTATGGTCCACAACACGTTGCTATTGGTGATTTTAATGAAGATACTTGGATAGATTTCGTTATAGCTAACTGGGATGTTAATCTTATTAGTATATATTTTGGATTCGAAAATGGGACATTTTCTAAACAAAATCAATATTCAACTGGTGTTAATTCAAATCCATTAATGACTGCTGTGAGTGATCTCAATAATGATTTACATTTAGACATTGGAGTTGTAAACTATGGTACTCATACTATTGGGATATTTTATGGATTCGGTAATGGATCTTTTCAAGAGCAAGTTGGATTCTCAACAGGTATTTCAAGACCAATATCAATTAGCTTAACTGATTTAAATAATGATACATTCGTTGATATTATTATTATTAATGAAGGGACAAATAGTTTTAGTATTTTGTATGGAAATGGAAATGGAAATGAAAGATTTTCAAATTCAATAACATATTTCACTGGATATGATTCTTTACCATATGCATTAGCTACAGGTGATTTTAATAATGATGATCTAGTAGATATTGTTATTGCAAATTATGGAACAAATAATATTGGTCTTTTCTTTGCTAATCATAATAATACTTTTCAAAATCAATTGATTATTTCAACTGGTGTTGATTCTCATCCAACTTCAATTACTGTTGGAGATTTTAATTCTGATAAATATCTTGATATCGCTATTACTAATTATGGAACAAAAGTGATTTGTGTATTTTTAAATGATCAAAATGGAAGTTTTACAAAATCAACATTCTATTCGATTAATTCTTCTTCACCATATTCAATCGATGTTGGTGATTTTAATGGAGACAAGAAATTAGATTTGTTTATTGTTAATATAGGTACGAATAATATTGGATTACTTTTAGGATTAGGAAATGGAAGTTTTGAAGAAGTAAGAATGAATTCAACCGGTTCTTATTCATCAATATCATTGGCTTTACACGATTATAATAAAGATAATCGATTAGATGTTATTATTGTTAATAACGATACTGGAAGTATTGATATTTTAAATGGGTATTTTGAAGGTTTTCCTACTCCTGAACAGTATATTTTTTACTATGGACCAAACTTGGTAATTGCTCATGATATAAACAATGATAAAATATTAGATTTAATAACTCTCTGTCGTTCTGATAATATCATTTATATCCTTCCTGGATCTAGAAATGGATTATTTCCATGGAAAATAGTATATGATACTGATTCTAGTCCATATGCCGCAACGGTTGGTGATTTTAATAATGATGGTAGAATAGATATAGTTGTTGTTAACGCTGATAACAATAATATGGACATATACTTTGGAAATGGTGATGGTACCTTTCCAAGTCTACGAAGAATACAAACAGGGTCCTTTCCAAATTCTGTGGCTGTTGGTGATTTTAATAAAGACAATCAATTAGATATTGTTGTCACAAATAATTATAACAACAGTGTTAGTGTGTATTTAGGATACGGAAATGGCTCTTTCGCATCACAAGTGACATATTCAACTGGTTCTCAACCACAATATGTAGTAATAGGTGATCTAAATAATGATAAATGTCTTGATCTAGTTGTTGTTAATTATTTTGGAAAGAGTATTAGTGTACTTCTTGGATATGATAATGGAACGTTTGCAAATCAACTAATATCTTCAGCTGGCTATTATCCAACGTTTATAGCAATCAATGATTTTAATAATGATACTCAAATGGATGTTGTTGAAAACAACATGCATAGTGGCACTGTGAGCGTTCTACTTGGATTTGGGAATGGTTCTTTGGCAAAGCCAGTTACATATGGAACAGGTAGTCTTCCATCGTCTATATCCATTGCTGACATGAATAATGATACGCATTTGGATCTAGTAGTTGCTTGTGCCGGTACAGCATATACATATATATTATTTGGATATGGAGATGGTTCATTTAGCAATGCTGTTTCATATTTTACAAATATGTATTCACCTTCTGTAGCTATCGGAGACTTTGATGAAGATACACGATTGGACATGGTTGTAACAGATCCTCTTAACGTCTGTATAGGTGTATTACTGCAATACAATAGAGGTGCACTGGCGAATAAACAAACTTATGCATCTGGTGGAAGTTCAAAATTACGATCAATGGTCATTGGCGATATAAATAATGATACTCATTTAGATATTGTTGTTGCTAATTATGGTACTGATGATATTAGTATTCTATTTGGATATGATAATGTTACTTTTCCAATTCATCTAACAGTTAATATGGATTCAAATTCTCATCCATCATCAGTTACTTTTGGTAATTTTAATGATGATAAACATTTAGATATTGCTGTAACTCTTGCTGGTTTGCATCAAGTTGGAATATTACTTGGAAATGAACAAGGATCATTTATTCGGCAAGCAGTTTATCAAACTCCTTCAATATCTCCTCCACTAGTTGTTTCTGCTGGTGATTTTAATAATGATGGACAATCAGAAACCGTTGTTGGATATGATGATAACGATAGTATTGATATATTCACTATATACAATACGGGATCTTTTAGAGATCTTAAGAAATATTCAGTTGGCGGAGCTCCAAATTTTGTCGTCTTAGACTATATTAATCATGATAGCTACATCGATATTGTCGTTGTTAATACAGATTCTGATGATATAAGTATTTTATTGGGATATGGTAACGGTAATTTTGCAGATGCTATAACATATTCAATTGATTCTCGTCCATTTTCGGTGGCAGTGGGCGATTTAAATAATGATAATCGATCGGATTTAGTGGTGAGCTATCTTCAAAGTGCTAGAATTGATGTTTTATTAGGATATGGAAATGGTAGTTTTGCAAATCCAATTAAATACGCAATTGATTCGATGTCATATTGTGTAGTAATGGATGATTTTAATAATGATAATTGTTTAGATGTGGCTGTTGCTGCTTATAATACTGGTTATATGTACGTATTCTTAGGATATGGTAATGGTTCCTTGTCAACACCACGAAAATTTAGGACTGGTGCTTCGCCGGTATTTTTGATGGTCGCTGATTTTGATTATGATACGCATCTGGATTTAGTTGTTACCAATTATCTATCGAATACTGTTGGTATTTTCATTGGATATGGTAATGGTTCTTTTAAAGAACAAATAACATATTCAGCTGATTGGAGACCATGGGCTTTAACAGTTGGAGATCTAAATAATGATGATAGATTGGATATTGTTGCGGCTACAATAGCATTTTCTACAATAACTATTCTGTTTGGATATGAAGATGGATCTTTTATAAATAATACAATAATTCCAGTTGGTAATATTCCAGAGTCTGTCGGTATAGGCGATTTTAATAATGATAGCTATCCAGATATTATTGTTGTTACTGCTAGTGAAAATTTTGTCAGCATTCTATTAGGATATGGAAATGGTTCATTTGCTACTCAAATTAAATGCCCAACTGGTTCTACAGCAGGATCAGTAGCTATTGCAGATTTGAATAATGATCGTCTACTTGATATCGTTGTAGTAGGTGAAAGTAATGTAATTACAATGTTTGGTTCTCCAAATCTTGTCTTGCGAAAACAAACGGGTCTTGTAACTGGGAATAATTCTCGATCAAGATCATTTGTTATTAATGATTTTAATAATGATAATCATATGGATATTATTGTAGCTAATTCANAATTGGTATTATAATTGTTTGTCTTACTTTACCGAAACGTCAACGTATGTTTTCATTCTAATAAAAATTCATGTAAGACAAAACATATATTTATCTATAGCAACACAATGTGGATTAAATTTGGCACGAATATCCACAAATCCAATTGAATATAATTATGGTCCACAACACGTTGCTATTGGTGATTTTAATGAAGATACTTGGATGGATTTCGTTATAGCTAACTGGGATGTTAATCTTATTAGTATCTATTTTGGATTCGAAAACGGGAAATTTTCTAAACAAAATCAATATTCAACTGGTGTTAATTCAAATCCATTAATGACTGCTGTGAGTGATCTCAATAATGATTTACATTTAGATATTGGAGTTGTAAACTATGGTACTCATACTATTGGAATATTTTATGGATTCGGTAATGGATCTTTCCAGGAGCAAGTTGGATTCTCAACAGGTATTTCAAGACCAATATCAATTAGCTTAACTGATTTAAATAATGATACATTCGTTGATATTGTTATTATTAATGAGGGGACAAATAGTTTTAGTATTTTGTATGGAAATGGAAATGAAAGATTTTCAAATTCAATAACATATTTCACTGGATATGATTCTTTACCATATGCATCAGCTACAGGTGATTTTAATAATGATGATCTAGTAGATATTGTTATTGCAAATTATGGAACAAATAATGTTGGTCTTTTCTTTGCTAATCATAATAATACTTTTCAAAATCAATTGATTATTTCAACTGGTGTTGATTCTCATCCAACTTCAATTAGTGTTGGAGATTTTAATTCTGATAAATATCTTGATATTGCTATTACTAATTTTGGAACAAAAATGATTTGTGTATTTTTAAATGATCAAAATGGAAGTTTTACAAAATCAACATTCTATTCGATTAATTCTTCTTCACCATATTCAATCGATGTCGGCGATTTTAATGGAGACAAGAAATTAGATTTATTTATTGTTAATATAGGTACGAATAATATTGGTTTACTTTTAGGATTAGGAAATGGAAGTTTTGAAGAAGTAAGAATGAATTCAACCGGTTCTTATTCATCAATATCATTGGCTTTACATGATTATAATAAAGATAATCGATTAGATGTTATTATTGTTAATAACGATACTGGGAGTATTGATATTTTAAATGGGTATTTTGAAGGTTTTCCTACTCCTGTAAAGTATTATCTTGACTATGAATCAAACTTTGTAATTGCTCATGATATAAACAATGACAAAATATTAGATTTAATAATTCTCTGTCGTTCTGATAATATCATTTATATCCTTTCGGGATCTAGAAATGGATTATTTTCATGGGAAACAGAATATTATACTGGTTTTAATCCATGTGCTGCAACGGTTGGCGATTTTAATAATGATGGTAGAATAGATATAGTTGTTGTTAACGCTGGTGACAATAATATGGGCATATACTTTGGAAATGGTGATGGTACCTTTCCAAGACGACGAAGAATACAAACAGGTTCTTTTCTAAATTCTGTGGCTGTTGGTGATTTTAATAAAGACAATCAATTAGATATTGTTGTCACTAATAATTATAACAACAGTGTTAGTATATATTTAGGATACGGAAATGGTTCTTTCGCATCACAAGTGACATATTCAACTGGTTCTCAACCACAATATGTAGTAATAGGTGATCTAAATAATGATAAATGTCTTGATCTAGTTGTTGCCAATTATTTTGGAAAGAGTATTAGTGTACTTCTTGGATATGGTAATGGAACGTTTGCAAATCAACTAACATCTTCAGCTGGCTACTTTCCAACGTTTATAGCAATCAATGATTTTAATAATGACACTCAAATGGATGTTGTTGAAAACAACATGTATAGTGGCACTGTGAGCGTTCTACTTGGATTTGGGAACGGTTCTTTGGCAAAGCCAGTTACATATGGAACAGGTAGTCGTCCATCATCTATATCCATTGCTGACATGAATAATGATACGCATTTGGATCTAGTAGTTGCTTGTGCTGGTACAGTATATACATATATATTATTTGGATATGGAGATGGTTCATTTAGCAATGCTGTTTCATATTTTACAAATATGTTTTCACCTTCTGTAGCTATCGGAGACTTTGATGAAGATACACGATTGGACATGGTTGTAGTAGATCCTAATGAAGAATCTATAGGTGTATTACTACAATACAATAGAGGTGCTCTGGCGAATAAACGAACTTATGCATCTGGTGGAAGTTCGAAATTACGATCAATGGCCATTGGCGATATAAATAATGATACTCATTTAGATATTGTTGTTGCTAATTATGGTACTGATGATATTAGTATTCTATTTGGATATGATAATGCTACTTTTCCAATTCATCTAACAGTTAATATGGATTCAAATTCTCATCCATCATCAGTTACTTTTGGTAATTTTAATGACGATAAACATTTAGATATTGCTGTAACTCTTGCTGGTTTGCATCAAGTTGGAATATTACTTGGAGATGAACAAGGATCATTTATTCGGCAAGCAGTCTATCAAACTCCTTCAATATCTCCTCCACTGGTTGTTTCTGCTGGTGATTTTAATAATGATGGACAATCAGAAACCGTTGTTGGATATGATGATAACGATAGTATTGATATATTCACTATATACAATACGGGATCTTTTAGAGATCTTAAGAAATATTCAGTTGGCGCAGCTCCAAATTTTGTAGTCCTAGACTATATTAATCATGATAGTTACATTGATATTGTGGTTGTTAATACAGATTCTGATGATATAAGTTTACTTTTTGGATATGGTAACGGTAATTTTGCAGATTCTATAACATGTTCAATTGATTCTCGTCCAATTTCGGTGGCAGTGGGCGATTTAAATAATGATAATCGATCGGATTTAGTGGTGAGCTATCTTCAAACTACTAGAATCGATGTTTTATTAGGATATGGAAACGGCAGTTTTGCATATCCAATTAAATACGCAATTGATTCGATTTCAGTTTGTGTAGTAATGGCTGATTTTAATAATGATAATTGTTTAGATGTGGCTGTTGCTGCTTATAATACTAGTTATATGTATGTATTCTCAGGATATGGTAATGGTTCCTTGTCAACACCGCAAAAATTTAGGACTGATGCTACGCCAGTATTTTTGATGGTCGTTGATTTTGATTATGATACTCATCTGGATTTAGTTGTTGCTAATTATGAAGCAAATACTGTTGGTATTTTCATTGGATATGGTAATGGTTCTTTTGAAGAACAAATAACATATTCAGTTGATAGGAGACCATGGGCTTTAACAGTTGGAGATCTAAATAATGATGATAGATTGGATATTGTTGCGGCTACATTGGGATTTTCTACAATAACTATTCTGTTTGGAGATGAAGATGGATCTTTTATAAATAAAACAATAATTCCAGTTGGTGATATTCCAGAGTCTGTCGGTATAGGTGACTTTAATAATGATAGTTATCCAGATATTATTGTTGCTAATTTTGGTGAAAATTTTGTCAGCGTTCTATTAGGATATGGTAATGGTTCATTTGCTACTCAAATTAAATGCCAAACTGGTTCTGCAGCACGATCAGTAGCTATTGCAGATCTGAATAATGATCGTCTACTTGATATCGTTGTAGTAGGTGAAAGTAATGTAATTACAATGTTTGGTTATCCAAATCTTGTCTTGCGAAAACAAACGGGTCTTGTAACTGGGAATAATTCTCGATCAAGATCATTTGTTATTAATGATTTTAATAATGATAATCATATGGATATTATTGTAGCTAATTCAGGCACTAATAATATTGGTGTTTTTCTTGGATACGGAAATTTTTCTTTTACAAATCAAACAACATATTCAACTGGTTTAAACTCATCTCCATATTCAATAGCAACCGGTCATTTTAATAATGATACTTATTTAGATATTGTTACAGCTAACTTTCGCTCGGATAGTATTGCAGTCTTTCTTGGTTATGGCGATGGATCATTTACAAATCAAACAACATATTCAACTGGTTCATCATCATCTCCTTATTCAATATCTGTTGGATATTTCAATAATGATTTAAACCCTGATATAATTGTTATTAATTATAATAATAATAAAGTTGGAATTTTTCTTGGTCATGGTAATGGAATGTTTGATGTTATTCGACTTTATTCAATGTCATATGGATCTCATCCATCTTCACTTGTTGTTGCTGATTTTAGTGATGATGGAAAAATGGATTTTGCTGTAATTAATAATGGTACTGATAGTTTAAGTATTTATTTACAAACATGCTAATTGTTTCTTTATTTAAAGACGTTCAGTAGAGTTTTATTTTTCCTAAATAAAATTAATTTAAAGAAAAGAATGTGAATCTATAAGTGAAGAGATCTCACCAAGGTTACAAAATCCAAATTTTTGAATGAGGATTTTGGAAAGTCTAAATGAAGTACATCAATGAGGTATGTCATTTTCCTTCTCAAATAGTAGATTCATGAAAAAATATCCGGTGAAACAATACTTCCGTGGAAAAAAGAAAACAAGATCTCATTATTTTGATAACTGTATGAATGTTCCGATCGATAATATATGAAGAATTCTAGCATGCTGGCATAGATGCTAGTAGCAGAACTGTCGCATTTCAGTTAAGTCTTTAACGTCTTTAGAAAATCGTCAATAATAAATCGTGATTCGACTATATTACGATAATGCTTCATTAACTCTATTATTGCCTGTTGATAATTAATATTGAACTGAGCTCCGTTTTTTGCAAGCAATCGATATCGTACAATGATGAAACCAACTTTCAGTATCGTTTCTTTCGTATTACACGTCAGAATAAACCGAGCGAATCGCATATGCATGCCGAGGGCTTCATTTACGAGTTGAACTGTTTCTAGATCAAGAGCCAGATGCTGAACGGCATCTACGAACGTAGCATAATTTGTTATAGTACTGATAATCAATTCCAGAAACTTTCGATAAGTACATATTACTCGTCGCGTATTGTTATATGCTTTATAAATACTCAAGACTTGACAAAAGGGTGGCTCAATAGCAGAGAGTTGAGCATGATGTGATATGCATCGATACCGCAACATGATTTCTAGATAGGATGAATATGTTTCAACCGAAATTGAATCGTCGAGATTCTTACAAATGTCGAGAACCTTTTGAAATTCTTTATCAACACCGAGATGATCATTGTGTTCTTTAAGGATTGTTTGAATCAAGTGCTCGAAAAGGATAATAACCGTCTTCCAATCAGCACGATCAATGAAATTTTCAATGATTGTTCGTACAACAGGAAAAATCGAAGTACGGTGAAATGAAGAAGGACTCTATGTAACCAAGTGCTCGGATCAAGTCATCATAAACACGAACAGTCGAGAAAAAATTCTCTGTTTTCATGTAAAATTGAGCAAATGTGGTAAAACATGGAACTGTATGTTTACAGATATGGTTATTCTGTTTGAAATGTGCAATTGCAAGTCCACAGCGCAGGATGACTGTTGAATTTCGAGCTTATCCTGGTATGTGGAAATAATCTGATCGAGGTTATTGTTTAAATATGCCACGTTATTCGCACAAATCTCTTGAATAGAAGTATCTTCAATAAGTGACTTGACTTTCATGAGCAATTGACGAGCCGTTTCAAAGTTAATTTTCGTGTGCTTCGCCTCCCGAGAAGCAAGGTGTTGCGCTAACGCTGCTATTTTCAAAAAACAACACACAAACTGGCGTGGGTGCCGAATCACTCGTTTGTTCTAAATATTGTTTTTCAAATGTATTGGCTAAACATTTGTAACATTCAAAAAGATTGTCAACGTCGTCGTTTCGGTAAAGTTCCAATGCATCGATACATTGCTTCATTGACTCTTGATAATTTTTCCAAGCTTTTAGATATAGACACGATAATTCCAAATAGCACTTTAAAACAATATGATAATCATCTCGACTGACATTAACCATACTTACATAAAATGTTGATGATTTTTTGGAAATAATCTATGGTCATCAAGTGGGTTTGCTCGTTTGTTTCGAACTCGAAACCAATCGCAAAAATGCTTTCCAGGTTTGAGAAAGTTGTTGGTATTGTTTTATGTCCTGTATCAAACACGTTTGATTGAGACCAGCTTGAGAAATGATCAGAAATGTATGACTATGAAAACGACTGGATGATTTCATTTGAGAAACCAAGATCTTTTTATATATCTCCCAGACGCGATCGAAGCAATATTCACTGATGCGACGTTTTTATACAAATCATACATGTCGTATTTATTGATGGACACTTTTGATGTCGGGTAGTTCATCGGCTTTCATAAAATATCCAAGTGCTTTATCATATTTTTTTCTTTATTCTTAAAGCGCATCCAATACAATTGTAACTTGTCATACGAAGGAAAGCTATGCTGTCACTTCCGTCATTTAATCCATCATAAAATACCAAAGCTCTTTGTTGCCTTTCGATAGCTAAATGCTCGTTCTTTTCTTTTAAGGCAAGCAGCTGTGAACAGCGGTGAAAAATTTCGATTAGTTATAGTCTTGTAAGAAAGTGCTGCTTGAGTTAAAACTTGAGGTTGACCATACGAAAGTAAATTACCAATTTTCATCAACATGCTCGAAAGTCTTCCACTACTCTAAACTATTCATCTTCGTTTTCGTCAATAAATTTCATCTGGACTAGGTGGACACCTTCAGACTCATTATAAACAATATTATCAATTTTAAAAAAAGAACCAAAAAAAGAGAGAACTTCCAATTCTCCATCTCTGTATTCACTAAATTGACCAATATATGCAAATGGTTTGAATCGTTGGATTTGTTGATTTTTGAATTATGCTCACATTTCGAAGAGGATCGATACGGCGTCGATTCTTGGTGCACCAGCAATAAACACGAGAGCTACTTCACGGCTCAGGCTAGTTGAAAAATAGCTGTTTGTCGTAATCAATGTGCCATCGTGATATTTTTTTCTTTAGTTTGTTTAGTTCATCGGCGGACATGCGTTGGCCGCGAAAGAAGGTCATTCATTGTCGAACGGTATAATGGGATTCAAACCAAGCATAAGCAGACTGCAATTCTTTGTGAACTTTACGAAGAAAAAAACGAAGGTCTAACGTGCCTTCAATAATTTGTCGGCGAAGGGCTCGATTAACAATACGGTAGATAAAATCATCACGTGTGTAACACGATAGTGGGAAGATAGAGGCATGGTTTTTCTTGAAATCGCCAATTAGCTTCAGAGCGCCAGGATTTCGAGAGAAGTGCAAACGACATTGATCAATAAAATGAGTACTATCATCGGCCATCACTGATTCTTATATGAGAAAATCGATAAACAACGGATACCAGTATTCCGACCAGTCAGCGAAATTGTTAATTACATTCGTTATCGCATCAATCGAACAGTTTGCTAATGAGGATAGACGAACGTCTGATCTATTCGCGCATTCTTTAACACTCGCCCATAGACATCGTTAATAACGTAAGACCTCAGGTGATTTGAAAACATCTTGAATCTAAACAACCAAAAGATAACATTTAGTCAAAGAGTTGGTACGAGGAGTATACCCAAGTTATTATGGCACGGTCGGTTCCGGCCGGTTAGGTTCGTTTTCCTACCATTTCCTTGCCGCCGGATTCGGGCCGGAAGTTCAAGCGTAGGTTCCAGTCATTTCCCGACCGTTCCCCGCAAACTTCGAGCTGGAAACGGTCAGGAACTGATCGGATATTTCCTGTGCAATTCCGGCCGGAACTTGCTGGAATCGAGAAGAGCTGTACCGGAACCAATTCAGATTTCAACGGATCCAGTCGCCGGAATGATCGACCTGGGATGTAGAGTCACTTTATAAGATAAGCACTTGATAGTATTGATGCATGTCATCGTTCCGAGCGGATCGAAAACAAAAATATCTTGCACATGGCGAATTTCACATAGATGTCATAATACCATTACACTGGGCATCGACGACCAAACGTCACGATACCCTGATACTGATCAACGAATGAACACCGGTATCGATACCAGCCCATTCTATCCGCGAGTAAACACTTTTATACTACAGAAAGAATACGATCATCATGAAGTTTAAGGAATATGAGTGGATTTGGTGTATCCATTTTGATACTCAAATAAGGTGAGGGTGAGGGTGCGGGTGAGGGTGTGGGTGGTAGCTGGATACACGAAATCCACTCACATTCCTCAGCATAGGGATGTGCGGTGTCGGTTTACCGACCACTAACGTCACCGACACTGGTCGTCACTGAACACTGATCTCATCAGCAGCACTGACATGCATTTCCACCGACATTGACACTGATGATCGTTGAAACACTGAAGATCTCTTCACCAGTGTTCACCGAAGCACTGACCGAGTCAGTGTCACTGAAAAGGCAGTGCTCAGTGAAACACTGTTACATTAATTCTTTTTCTTAATTAATTTATAGTCATAGTTTATGAATAAAAACTGCAATTTTCATATTAAAGACTTAAATTTATTTAAAACTAATTCCCTACCACCACTTAGTTATGCAATAAAATGAATTACCAATCCTTAATTTCATACTAGCTTTGGAAAGAAAATATGTATTAGTAATTTTCTCTATTCTAGCTCGAAAACGAAAAGCAGCGAAACTGTAATGGAATAATACTTCATGATATCCATTGTCTCAATGTCCTATTCAGATTGATGTCAGTGTCATCACCGACACTGCTTTGCCGGTGACACTGACTCTATCAGTGCTTCAGTGAATACTGGCGAAGAGATCTTCAGTGTTTCAGCGATCATCAGTGTCAATGTCGGTGGAACTGCATGTCAGTGCTGCTGATGAGATCAGTGTTCAGTGACGACCAGTGTCGGTGAAAACTGAACCAGTTTTTCAGTATTTTCACCGAAACCGCACATCCCTATATCTACCTCACATTTGATATTACTATAATACACAAGTAACGCTCATCCTTTGGATTCGCTGACCCTTTTCTGAAAGACTTTTCCGAATGCTGAGCACATTCACAGACTTTGAAAGAGAAAAAAACGCACTGCGATTGCTACTAGTGCTCAACTGAATCATGGCACTATGTCACACACTAGAATGAATAGGATGCAAAAGTCTTTTTAGGAATCAGACCGATTAGCCATTTGTCAGTGGATAATTCTCCAGCACTAACTATGTTGACTGAAAAATTCATCGCTCAACGATTATTCAGACGCTCAACCATTGACCTTTGTCATCTATTTTTCTATTTTCACATCACGCGCATGGAAATTTCCATAAACGCTTTACTAAGTCACTCAGACGGATGATATACAGTAGACTACTTGAAAAGTTTGAACATTCGCTTGTGTCTTCCAGCGATAATCCGATTCTTTTCTTTCCTATCAACAAAATGATACGTTGTCGAATATTTTCATTCAGGAATATACATTCGTCAAATCCCTTTCAAAATTATCTGAAGCCTGACAAAGTTATTCTAAGCGTACACTTTAGGATTAATTTAGCATTTAAACGCCTAGTCGTTCGTCGACTACCAAAAGAAGCTAGATAAGAAATTCTTATTGTATGATTTGCTTCGAAACGAACATCTTTCATAGTGCTGTATGTGTTCAGAATACTGTTTCTACAGTGCACGCGTCTGTAGTTACTAAGATTGAATTCCACCGACGGGTATATCACTTTGCGAGCTACTTGTACTAAATTCCCATGAAAACACATGATGTATGTAGCCTACAAAGCAAAGATGATACTAAGCTCATATCACTTTTTCGGATTTCTTCAATTAGAAACATCATTATGTACAATGAATTAGATCATTTCGTGTAAGTTCTTAAGCTACTATCTTTGTATGCATGACGTCCGTGAATAGCGTTCAGCTCACCATCTTCTACAAAAGATTTCAGAACAGATGAAGTAAAATATCTCCTTTGTAGAGAGGCAGGAACAAGCCCAGGCTTAGCGAATAAAACGAAATTCACCCTCAAATTCAAATTTCCCCACGTCAGAAATCCTTCGGTCTACTCTGACAATGGATGTTACTAAGTCGTGGCTAGTTAATGAAAAATTAATAATTAATTAAGAAACACTAACCTCGGATTCGTGATCCTCGACCCCGATTACCCTTTGGTCGACCCTTACTTGACAACGAACAAAATTTTCATTACTTAATTAGCTAATTAGCTGATGAGCTAATTAGAATTTCGAGAAACTAACCTCAGATTCAAGTTCCCCTACCTCGATTACCCTACCGATAATCATTTTTTAGCAACTATCGATCAATTTCATTGATTTTAGAAATGCTGGTTTCTGATTGGATAGGACAGACAGACAGACAGACAGACAGACAAACTTTAAGCTTTTTAACACAGCATTTAAACGCTGTATAACCCTTTCTTTCAGANTCAACCCTTACTCTGTATATTAATAATCTATGTCTAGTTGACAGATAGTTAATTAATAGTTAATAATTAGTTAAAACTAACCTCAGATTCAAGTTCCTCGACCTCGATTACCCTAGGGGTAATCATTTTCTAACAACTATCGATCAATTTCATTGATTTTAGAAATGCTGATTTCTGATTGGATAGGACAGACAGACAGACAGACAGACAGACAAACTTTAAGCTTTTTAACACAGCATTTAAACGCTGTATAACCCTTTCTTTCAGAAAAGGGAACAAAATATATTTCATTTCCAATTCGAAAAGAATACCATCTGTTGCTCATGATTGTTGTCAACATTTCATGTTGCTTTCAGATAGTTCATAAATATCTCTTGACAATATAGTCATTTTATTGATAGTGAAAGTTCTTGGCATTACAGAAAATAATTATGAAGAAAAAGATGAAGATGACAATAAGCAAATGATACTGTTTATGGGTAGTAGCAGAATTTGATACGCATGTTGATGTTGTAATTAAATTTGTGGACATGTCATGTTTTCTAGAGAAAAAGTGAAAAATAAAACATTCAAATAATGTATAATTAGAAAGTGATAAATACGATAAGTATACTGAACAATATGAGTGACAAAAGAAAATATCAATGGTATATTTTTTTATGAAGTATACTTCTGACAGTAGCTTGGCGTCACTTACCACATTCAGTAAACATCACAATCACATTTAGGAGCACAAAGACCATATGGAACGCCATCTATACTAGTACAACGTCCAGGAGTTAGGAGACAACAACGAAGAGGATCGTGTGGACATAGACCACAAGTACCGCCAGTACAGTTACCTGCAACACAGGTAGCAGGTTCTGGAACCCATTGAACGTATTTATTACTCGAAGTACTGTTGGTTTGTTGAGAATGGTGCTCGAGAGGGGCAGCTGAGATGATTGTGATAATGAAGCATGATAAAATAGTGAACCACATTGTTGAACGTTCGCCAGGCATTTTCGAAGAATTGCAATTGAAATTCTGAATTTCTCTATCAAGTGTTCGAAGTTTTACTTGAGTATTCACTGTAATAGTCGTCTTTTTTATATACTCGATATAGGTCAACTAACGCAAACTATTGACGCGTGGTAGTATTCGTATTTATTGCGTTGAAAAGCATGAAACATCAATAGATAAATCCATTGTCAACTGAAGATTGCAAGCAAAGTAAATACACAATAAATATTGATCTTATTCTTAGGCATGTAACATTTAGGATGAGTAAGTCTTACTTAATCATACATGATATTTAGCAGAGATATTATCTTCGACGTATGTGTGTATGTACCTCACCTACGTAAATAGTGAGCAGAAACAGCGCCAAAAATGTTGGCCTCAGGAGGCTTAACTCCTGTCATTCCACATGGTACCCTGTCTCCCACCCACCGGAAAGTTGTTTTCGAACTATTCTGTTTGATGTAGCTAAAAAAATGACACATCTTTAAATAAGTTAGTATGTGCTTCTATTAATTAAAAAAAACAAAGAGCCCAATCTAATGCAACAGAATTCTACTATTTTTGTGATTACTCGAAAATTCATCTATAACTCGTAAGTAATTAATCCATTCAATCCGAATTGAATCGCCGGTAGCTCACTGTATGTTATAATGAGAGTAAAGATATAAGAATCGACTTTTCCCTCTTTTTCTCTCAGAACAGAGTAATGGTAAGTCCCTCGTCTATTCCGTTCTGGACAATGCTTCGATCATTCCATCATATAGAGAACTGCTTTTCGTTAAAACAATCAAGACAAAAGAATTTGTCGCAATTCGGGGTCTACAAAGTTCATTCCAAGCTCAGAACCGCTCATTTTCGAGTAGTTCAGTTGAAATGAGTTGAACTGTTCAAGAAGTTCAACTCGAATTTTTGTTCAGACACAATATAATACCTTGCATTGTGATTTTGATATCCGTTTTTTACATCTATTCATAATAGATGTCCTTACTATAATCTTATGAAACTACCTATATGTGGAGTACCTAATACTTTAATTCATACTGTTTCCATGGGCATTTAATAGACAAAACAAGAACGCTAAGTCAAAACCAAGATTTTGTAATTCGTTGTGTTCTACCCAGGTCAACAAATCCGACGTTGGATCCGATCGGATCCGACATGGGATCCGTAATCGTCGGAATCCAATGCGATTCCGTCACCACGAATCCTATCGGATTTCGTCGGATTCCGATAAGATCCGACAGAAACCGATATAGGATCCAATCGGATCCGAGTATGGGATTTGTCCACCTGGGCAATGGAACTTTCTAAAGTTGATCCCACGAGCATTGGTTAATTTGAAAAGTTCTAGATTCAATTAAATTAAAACAAATATACTATAATGTAAGCCTTTTATCTCTTTTAGCTAAGCATAGATAGCATGGTACCATTGATTATTATAGGGCCTAAGAACAGATACATATATATGTACATTCGTTATTGCATCAATCGAACAGTTTGCTAATGAGGATAGACGAACGTCTGATCTATTCGTGCATTCTTTAACACTCGCCCATAGACATCGTTACTAACGTAAGACCTCAGGTGATTTGAAAACATCTTGAATATAAACAACCAAAAGATAACATTTAGTCAACGAGTTGGTACGAGGAGTATGTAGAGTCACTTTATAAGATAAGCACTTGATAGTATTGATGCATGTCATCGTTCCGAGCGGATCGAAAACAAAAATATCTTGCACATGGCGAATTTCATGGATATTTTCTTGGAAAACACGAGTTAATAGTACAGGAGTAACAATTAGAAAGATTCGTTCATATCGGACAGAACGTATGAACTCTTCATATGCTTCAACGGTGTGGAATGTTTTATCGTAATCAATTATGTACCAGATACTTTCCTTCAATGACACCACTTGTTCGTCACAAGAACAAGACGAATCTAATCGCTATACTACTACTAATCCAGTTTTTTTTAATCGAATCATTCGATGACATCGTTAGCGTTCAGTTCGGGCGTTAAATCGTCATCTATTT